TGCTTTTCGTGCCCTAGTCTCATCGCCTGTCTAGAAGCACTTCACGGTCATCCCCATAGCCTGCACGCCACCTTCTCAAATCCCAAAGACACCACCGGGCATTCAAACACAGTTCAAGGTTAGACCTTGTTGAAATCAGAGCCAAGTTTTGGCTCTCCGTAACAACCATTTCATGTTTATTTGCCAAACAGACCGCAGTCTCAAAAACAACGAGGAAGTAGGACATATCTCCTCATGTCTTCCCTGTGCCTGGCACAATGCAACACATGCACAAAGTCCGCCACCAGCTAAAGGACACCATGCGGCGGCTTTCTGACAGCACGGGGCAGCATGGGACACACGTGTGATTACTGGGGGGTGTTGTTTATGCTTCACACTTCAGGTGACCTGGAGAAAGCTGTCGTGGCGCTAGCGCACGCTGGGCTGGCCCCGGGAGAGGGGCTGTTCCCTGCCTTCCAGTCCTCCCTGGTTCTGTGCCTTGTTTCTGTCTCTGTCTCCCTTGTAACTGTTTTCTCCATCTACAGAACCAACAGGGACATTAAGTAACCCTTATATCCATGAAACTCTGAAAATCTTTTTGTTTCCGATTTTCATTATTCTAAATAAGCACCCTCACTCACCAAAGTGGTATTGAGTCCAGAAAGCATGAAAGGGCCTGAAGAAAAGTGAAAAATATCTCATAAAAAGGTCCACAGTATGCTGCTGATTTTGAGCAAAAATGCTAAACAAATTTTCAAAAAGTTAAAAGAAATGTACTCGCACCCTGGCCAGTTTGGCTCAGCGGTTAGAGTGTCGGCCTGCGGTCCGGAGAGACCCGGGTTCGGTTCCCGCTAAGGGCACGTACTTCGGTTGCAGTTTGTCCCCGGCCCTGGTTGGTCGTGCGGGTGGCAGCCACTCGATGTGTCCCTTCACGTCGATGTTTCTCACTCTCTCTCCCTCCCACTCTATCTGTACAAAAAATGGAAAAATATCCTCGGGTGAGGATAAAAAAAAAAATAAAAAAAAAAAAAGAAATGTACTCGCTACATGTACCTCATCCAGAAATTATGTAGGTGAAATCTCAGCCTGGTTGTATCTTCAACCTGGCTCTGTGACAAGTCCCACCTTCTCACTGGTGTGTGTGTGTATGTGTGTGTTAACTCTGAACTGTAAAAGCAGATAGTACATATGAGAGCTCGGTGGGGAAAAATCTAAAGTCTGGCAAACATGGCCTAGCCAGTCACCTGGGACAACTCAGGTGTATTATCCCCAAACAGGCTCCAACTAACATTCAGAGACATGTGGTCTTGCTGTTTTTAGTATTTTTGAAAATATTTCTCTTTATTGATTTTAGAGAGAGGAAGGAAGAGGGACAGAGAGAGAACACTGATGAGGTAGAACATCAATCAGCTGCAGGATTAAGCCCGCAACCCGGGCACGTGCCCTGACCGGGAATCGAACCCGGACCTCTCAGTCCAGGGGACATCGTTCAAGCCACTGAGCCACACTGGCCGGGCCTGTTTTGTTTTAATTAAAAGGAGATGAACATCCTCAGGAAGTTTTACCTGTACAGTGTGCGCAATAATGTACACAATTAAACTCTACATCAGATAGCTAAAAACGCCTCATTATCTAGACTAGATTTAGTCTAATTAAAAAGTAAATCAAATTCACAAGGGGAAATAATTGCCACCAGGCATAATAAGCTGGTTTTAATTTGGACTCTTAGGAAGAATACACATTCCACAAGAGGCATGTGCTTCACACCATAATCTCAGAAATAAGAAAACTGACTAAATACATTTGCTCAACTTGAGCTACCTTCAGAGCATTAAGGGACATCTTAATGGAGTGTCGGCATGCAGCACTGGATGGACCTGCAAATCACAGGAAACACTGTCAGAGCAACACCAGTGCTCCGATCATGTTATGGTCCCCACACACACGGGCAGCGGTACAAAAACGAGTGCTCTGATGCAGCTGGCACAACCAGTAACACTCAGAAAAAGAACCGAAGGACCTCGAAATCACATTTAAGGTGTTTTCCTAATTGTACTGCATATTAGGAGACCAGTGAATGCACAAGGGGGCCCTGGGAATTCACTGTCCCAAAACTCTGGAGAAAAGACATTAATCAAAGGACCTGAGTAGCATCAGTATTTTGAGCACCCAATGAATGGCTACATTTAGATCACCTTCTCATCAGGGCCACATAGGTTTACAGCTTTAAAAGCCTAAAGACAGGCAAATATCTTATTAAAATTTTATCTCAGACAGCTCATGCAGCAGAATTTTTGCCAATACGTCTTGTAGGGCAAGAGAAACAAAGGAGGGAAAAAAAGCAAATGGGACTACATCAAACTAAAAAGCTTCTTTCTACGCAGCAAAAAAGAAACCATCATCAAAATGAAAAAGAAACCCACTGTATGGGAGAATATTCACCAGTGATAAATCTGATAAGGGGTTAATTTCCAAAATATATAAAGAACTCATACAGCTTAACAAAAGGAAGACAAACAATCCAATTAAAAAATGGGCAAAGGACCTGAATAAACACTTCTCAAAAAGGGACATACAAATAGCCAATAGACATATGAAAAAATGCTCAACGTCACTACTCATCAGAGATGCAAATTAAAACATCTATGAGGTATCACCTCACACCTGTCAGAATGGCCGCCATCAACAAATCATTAAACAACAAGTGCTGGCGAGGGTGTGGAGAAAAGGGGACTCTAGTACACTGCTGGTGGGAATGCAGACTGGTGCAGCCACTATGGAAAACAGTATGGTGTTTCCTCAAATAATTGGAAATGGAACTGCCATTTGACCCAGCTATTTCACTTCTGGTAACATATCCTAAGAAGCCTGAAACATCAATGGAATACTATGTGGCTGTAAAAAAGATGGATCTCTTATCCTTTGCAAAAGCAAGGATGGACATGGAGAGAATTATGCTAAGTGAAATAAGCCAGTCAGAGAAAGACAAATATCACATGATCTCACTTACATGTGGAATATAATAAAAAATATAAACTGATGAACAAAATAGGTCCAGAGGCATGAATGCATAGGACAGACTGACAGATCTCGGGGGGGGGGGGGGGGACAACGACAGGATGAGAGTAACCAAAGATTAACCATATCTGTCTATGCATAACCCATGGAAACAGACAATAGTGTGGTGAAGGCCTGGGGTGGGCGGGGCCTGGGTGGAGGGGAGATCAAGTGGGGTGAGAAATGGGGGACAACTGTAATACTGTCAACAATAAAAAATAAATTAAAAAGAAAAGAAATGGACATTCAGAAAAACATTTTTGTGTGTGTTCATACATCTTTTCTCCGTTTTCTTATCAGTCACTCAAAGAAACAGAAACAAAAGATGTTTCCCTCCAGGGCCTAATGAGTTGTTGGTGTTTATCAATTTCCACGCTCATAATCCACAGTATCTGAGGATACTTCACAATCCAAATGTATCTGAGGAACCAGCTGTGAGGTTAGAATGTGAGAATGCGAAACTTCTAAAAGATGGTGTACACATGGTCTTTCTTAAGGCGTCTGGGGGTCGCAGAACAGAGACAAAGGCAAGCTTCCCGCGGCTCCTATGGGAAGGAAGCCAGACAGACCGGGGACAAGTGGGCCCCCAGGGACACTGGGCCATATGACTCATTTGGTGAATACAGAACCAAAGAAGTGACAGGACCTGCTCAGAGCCATTCTCAAGGTCACCATACGGCATATTGTAGGACAAAAGTATCACTTTGGAAAGGCTCCCTGGGATCCATTAACCCAAGGATAGTTTTTTGAAACAACTGAGTTAGACCGAACAAGAGTGCTGGCCGTCTCTGCCACCAGGAGAAAAGTCAGGTTTTCTTAACACACACACACACACACACACACACACACACACACACACACACACGCTGGTCCCCATTACTTTCCACCAAAGGGTAAATGGGGTCAAGGCCAAATAAGCGTTTACGTTTTCCTCTCCCCTCCATACACTGGACACAACACAGTGGGTGACCTACTCAGCACATCTCACGTCGGCCCATTCTGCCGGAACCTGACACCCGCCCACCCGCAGTCAGCACAGCGTCAGGCCCCCACTTCCAAAGCCTCCACAAATTGCATTTTGGGTGACATCATGACATTGATCATGTCAAGACTCTCTGAAGTGATTTCTTTTTGGCTTCAGCCAAATGTTTCATCTGTCCTAAGAGGAAGCAGAAGGGAAACAGAAAAGGGGAGAGGGTGATAAAGGAAAGAAATATAAAACCCTTGGAGAAGCCCAGCACAGCACAGAGGGGACGGTCACTTCAGACAAATAGCAGCCAAGGCAAAGCTGGGCTTGTGTTCCCAGGTATTTCTAGGAAACCAACCCTAGTGCCCATGTTCCATGGGGTCAAGAAGAATCTGCAGGGTTAGCTTTTCTTCAGTCTCTGAGCCCGAGAAAACACCCCCATCATTCTATGAAAGTGAACCACAGACAGATGGATGAAAAGGGAGAAGTGTTCAATGTGTAAACCAGCCTCTCAGAGCCACGAAGAATCGGTAAGATTTGATAAAGAATGTGAAGCTCTGTCTCTTATGCTGTATGTTCTCATACAGGAGCCGTAAGAAAAAGTTAAAAATGACAAAACATGGCCCAGTATGAAGAAGGAACATTCCAATGGATAGCGGTTTCAGAAGATGGAGGAAGTGATTACTCAACTCAGAGAAGTATCCTAGGACAGGCTAGACCATACAGCTATAATATATGTAGCTATATATTCTGTGGTCTGGAGAAAGACACAGGCTGCCTGAACCGGGGCAGATAACCTTCACAGTCACCCCAACACTGCATTTCCAGGTCACTTGCTTTCCCTTAGGTTGACAAATTTGATCATATACTCAACTGGGTAAAAGCCAACAATCTCACAATGGATTGAAACTACGTTATATATTTGACGTAGCTAGCTCAAAGCTAAATAACGAAAAGAAAAAGAGAGGAGGAAAAAGAAAACCAAAAGATCTTTTACTCTAGGAATCCGGGTTTGTGTTTATGCTCCACGTGAGGTCCAAACTGTATCTGGGCTTGAAATCCACCAAACTCGCAGGCTTTCTCGAAGGAGACAGGGTGGGAGCCGTTCAGGATATCATCCCGAGCCTGAAACACAAGAGGAAGCAAAAAGCATCAGGACCTTGGGGGAAACGACACGTCCTGTCTGCTGACGCGCCCCTGCACCCGAGTGCACCCAGCCTGTGGAGTGAGGGGAAGGGTGCTGGCCAGCTCCGGTGATGCATCCAGGACTCTGCTGATTGTAGCACAGCAGGATTAAGGCAAAAAGAAAACAAGTCTTTGCCCAAAACTACCTATAAATGGGCAGCAGCAGCAGTGTCCAGTGTGTTAAAGCTAAAGCTTGGGTACATTCTAGGAAGGTAGAAGTGGATCATGAAAAATAGAGGCAAAGAGAAACCCTTGTGAAATGATCACATTCATAGAGGGGGGAGGGAAGAAATGCAGTATACTTTTTATGACCCTACCTCAGAAAGTGAACAGAAAAATTACCTAGAGGTAAAATCAACCCAAACCCCACCTCAAGATAAATAAGGAGGGAGCTAGTCAGACACAGGAATGCAAAGCTGCTGACATGTAGGGGAAGTGATCAGCAAACACGCAGCCTCAGGATCAGAAACTCACTGTGTCTGAGCTCTTCTCAGTTCTTGACCCATCACTGCTGTTGCTATTTATTCTTTTTATTTCCTTTCTCTAGCTACACAACCCCCACTCCACTCTCAGATGGACGTGCCAAACTGCGGCTCTGAGCCTTAAACAAGCACCATTTTATTGCCCTATCTCCTTCCTTCTAGCCTCTTTCTTCCTAGCTCTCCTTCTACACCATTCCTCCATCCACGAACTCAAGGATCGGCAAAGCTTTCCTGTAAAAGGCCAGAGAGTAAACATACCAGAGCATGTGGGCCCTGCTGCCTCTGTCAGAACTACCGAATTCTTCCACTGGGACACGAGAGCAGCCGTGGACAATACGCAGCCAATAATGCGATACATGCAGGGTTCACCGATGTGTGATATGTTAACAAATTAGCTGTGTTCTAATAAAACTTTATTGATGAACACAAGTGATGCTGTGGATGCACTTTTTTCGGTGGGGACATAGGTAGATAAATAGAAGGAAAGAAAAGGGAAGGAAGAAAGGAAAGAATAAAAAACGTGAGGAAGGGAGACAGATGGATGTTTTCTTTGAGCCCTTGGGGACTAGTGGGAAGCCCACATCTTACACCATGGGAAACCGCAACTCAGATAAGTTAAAGGACTTGTCTGAGCTCAAACAATTACTTAACAGTAAAGAAAAAAGGTTATTGAGAGAATATTGTTCAGTTAATGAGAAGTAACTGATTTTCTGACCAATATTCACTTGTATTCTAAGATGTTAGCAAAGAAAACTTGAGTGCATTTGAAGTGGTGGGCCAGTTAGGCGCCTCCAAGCCGGGCAGAGAGAGACGGTACTGGCCACCAGGTCACGATCTGGGAGGTCAAATTAAGTCCCTCCTCCGGATGGCCAGCAGCTCATGTCAAACATCAACCCGCGCCACGACCAAACACATGTGCCCTCTGGACACGGTATGCGGGACACGTGATGGAAGCCAGAGCCCAGCTCCTGCTGCACAGGCCACAGCCAGGGGCCTCCTGAACTCTCACCAACCCCAATGTCTGAGCATCAAGTACGGTACCTGAACATAAAGCAAGTTCAGCTGCACAGGGTCTCTCGAGTCCACATTCTGATCCGAGTAAAAGAATTTCCGTCTAAGCAGCAACGTTTCGTTTTCATCAACGCCTTGTTCTCTGAATGTTCGGCTGTGATCCAGCCAATTTACTGCAACACAACCACACCGATAAAAGAGCTGTGTTTATGTTTCCTCTCGGTTTGGCGGATTTATCAAAACAGCAGCATAATACAGATGCAGATTTCTATAATGCTGATATTCAGTTCCAGTTACTTCTTATATTAGAACTGTGCATTTTAACTTTGCAAAATAATTTCACGTGCCCTCATGTACCACATGACACTCTGAAAGGAAATGAGAGAAAATTCCCAGCTATTCTTAAACTTAGTTAAAGCCCCACAATAATTTATAATATGCCCCTTCCTTCTGGGGGTTAGAATAAATAAGGAAATTAGTACTTCATGCCAAGATAACCAAGTTAGCATTTTCCTTTAAGTCAAAAGTAGATACTTCAATCTCATCAGGTGAAATAACTGACAAGCTTTGAGCATAATGAGTTACCTCCAACCCTAAGCAGAAAAGAGAAAGAAAGTGAACGTAATTGGGGGGTGGAGGACACTAAGGTAGTGGGGGGTGGTAGAAACCTGCCCATGGCCCAGCTTGAACCTCACTCATTCAGAAAACGCTGGGCTGACATCGAGGTGCACTGATCACTCCTCCACTCTTTCCACAGCTCTCATTCCCACACTCCTCCGAGCTTAACACGTATGTTGTGAGTCTTTATTACAAGCCTCACTGGATTATAAACAATTCTAGCTCAGGGAATGTGTTGGGTTGACCTCATCTCCCATAGTACCTAGGAGAGTATCGTGCACATTATAAAAATCCTTGGGATTTGTCTACTAACGTCTCACTTGGAAAGAAGTATGCAACTGGAAATCAAATAAAGCAGAAAAAAAAAGAGAATGGAAAAAGGGTCAGAGGAAATGAAAGTCCCACTGAAGATCAATAAACATAATGACAATGATGACATCTTCCCAAGGCAGCAGCAAGGGCAGGAACAATGAGAGCGAGAGGGTGGGGAGGGCTGAGTGAACTGCGCATGAAGTAAGATCCTCTGGGGGCGGGGAAGGTCTGGCAGCCAGGTGCACACAGCACAGGCTTTTGGGGACACGTGGGGTGTACATAATGGCTTTTCCAAATATTAACTGTGTGGCCATAGAAAATTACTTTCCTACGACAGAATTACATTACCATTTTGTATCCCTTAAGGAAATTATGTATTGAGGCAGTGGTCATCAATGGCTGTTAACATCACAGAAAAGGAGACAATGTGATACAACTTTCTGATGATAGAACAGCAGGTCCTCAAATAACATCATTTTGCTACAACGATAATGAGATGCTATAGGATCTTAAATCTTGTTTATATCAACTGATCGATAGTAAAAGTGGTTTCCTTATACATCATTTCGCTTCAAGTCCCAGAGCCTATTGATGACATTAAATGAGGACTTACTATACACAACATCACCACATGCAGGAGTCTTTATTTTAAAAAAAATATACACATAAATCTGATCAAGCCTCCAGATCAGGGGAATTAAAAAGGAGAGAAAAACATGTTAAATGACACCATAGGTATCAACAAAATCCAGATCACACAAAATTCAATAAAAGTAGCAATCTGGTTTCTTGCTCCTAAAATTTTGAAGAAAAATAATGTAAAAGATGAAGGCAAGTTGTCGAGACTAAAAGAGGTAAGCAATGTTATCATTCAACATAATTTGAACCCCAGTTCAAACAAACTGTTGAAAAAAGATTTTTAGAAGAGAAAATGTAAGCATAATTTGTATGTTTGATATTGAGTCACTTTTTTAAGAGTCTCAATACTTTAGTGACACAGACCAAAATATTTACAGATGAAATAAAAATAAAAAAAGCAAAACAAACAAAACCACACCCAGCACCCTGCCCGGGTAGCTCAGGCGGGGAAGGGGGGGGCATGGCGAGACCACGGCCTGCATCATGCTTCCTCCCACACACTCACAGTCATCGTCCGTGTGCAGTTTGGCCTTCAACTTCTCCATTTTCCTCTCGTCTCGTAACAGTGTCCTGTCTTTTTTTAGTGTACCCGTCCCTTCCTCTTTCTTTTCTTCAATTGTTTCTTGGATTAAAGAATATTCTTCATAGTTTGTTATTCCTAAAAATATAAATTAGGTTATATTAGCAGTGACCACACAGTGCTCTCTCCCCTTCGGCGTGGGTCCTGTAGTATCCAAGGAGTCCCAGGTGGCAAAGGACAGCAAGAAGCCTTACGAGGTGAGGGTTGAGGGCCACCCTTGGAGCACATAGCAAATAACTCTGGCTAAAAAGGAGCATTTTCAGATAGGCAAGTTACACTCAAAATGTCATGGTCAATTCTCCTGTCTCATTTTCAAGAACACAAGGACGAAGTAGAGAGAGATCATGCAGAACAAGGCGAGACACTGTCAAGCAAGAAGTGGCCGACATGCCCTGGCCGGTGTGGCCCGGAGGAGCCCAAGTGTTTGCAGTATGTCAGTGGGGCTGCAAATCGAGCGAATGGTCGCACCCTCGTGGGAGAGGTAGAAATCAGTGTGCTAGGCCATGTGCAAGGATACCTAGGCGACGAACTGGGGTAAGAAAAAAGAAGAGGTGTGTAATTGAAACCGAACAGAAACGGGAACCGGGGCCGGTGACCACTCACCTATCCTGCTGCAGATGGTCACCAGGAGCTCCCCGACCGTCTTGGAGTCGTCCACCATCACCGTCTTCACGGCGCCATCCAGCATGCGGATCTTCTGAGGTCTCTGTTTCTTTTTATATTCCAAAATATCCTAGGGCAAAACCACACACACAGTCCAAACTTGGGCACTTTCTTTAAAAACAAAAAGAACTTTCCCTGCCATATTCTGATTTCTTCCTTCAAAATGTTCATGAGATTTTTGCCACTAATATAGAAACTCCAGGGCTTAATAATTGCTTTCATCACTATTTCTCAAAAATCTGATAGTGACATTGCACCCAAAGAATATATTTATAGCTCATAATTACTGAAAACTAACCTCTGCAAAGTGAAAGTAGCATTATGTCCTCCTAAGAGGCTGGGAGTGATCTGCTCTGAGAATTAGTGGAGGAAAATTCCTACCGCCTTTTACAAAGACAAAAGTGTGTGTCTCCAGTGATCTCTCATACAGTTTATAGGCAATGTTTAATATCCGTGTCATGAAAGACATAAGTAAAACCCCCATAATTCTTCACAGCCATGTGGATCCCAGTGGAGGTGGTGGTCATTGCAATGGCAAGGCCAAATAGGGGTAATATGTTTGGGAGTTGTTTTTAAATAGAGACTTTTTTTTTTTTTTAACTACACGTCTTAAAATAGAATTACGGAGGGGAAAATTAGCTGGCAAACGCACTTCCCTCTTGCGTTACGAGATACTGACCAATCTGATACACACATTCCATGCGCCAAAACCCAGTATCTCGAAGGCTCAGCTGAACAGAACATTTAACACTTTTTACTCACTACCTCTCCCCCCTTCTATGGCACAACTGTTTGTACAGGTAGTTATTAAACTTACATCTAACATGAACTTCCTTTTATAGAAATAAAACATAAATTAAGAGTCCATCTCTGGCTACCCTTAGGATTATATTATTGTCCCTCCAATCCATCATTACTTTCTATCACCATTCACCAGGATACTTTCTACATACTTACAGAAAAATACTGCATTTTCTTTCATAACCACCAAGTCCAACAAGGGCACATAGAAACAGTTTTAAATACTAACCCCAAATTGCTTTAATTATTCCGCAGAGTTTCAAGAATTTAAACTGCTGATATTTTCTACTGCTACCTGGACAGCCCTTACAAAGTATGTGACATCGAGACTATTAATAAGATGCCCTTGAAGCAAAATTAATTGTTGGGTCTCTCCTTTTCTTTCAAGCACAGTTATGTTGGCTTCTATAGAAGGCTCAGGAACAAAGTGATGAAAAAAAGAAAACGAGATCAGCCACATACCCCATTTCGCAACATGTAGTAATCCAGTGTTCTGCCTGCTTCCAGCCAAATTCCTTTCCTGGGGTCTTCATCGGAGAGAAACAGCCCATAGTCAGAAGCTGGAGGATGAGCAGAAAGAAACACAGAAGATAAAGTGATGCTGAAGCCATCACTGACAGCCAGGGCCCGAGTCTGCTGACTGGGCAAGCGTGCGAGTCCTCCTGCAACAGAGAAGGTCTCCTTACGACACCACGAGCCGCCACTGGGCCTGGAGCAGAGGAGGAAGAACCGAGCTGCAAAGCCAACACCCTCAGGCAAGATTTATGTTTCCCAAAACCAGTGGGCAGTAGTTGTGTTCGAATTGAAGAAAATAGCAAGAACAAAGCAGTCCAAATTTCTTCCTGAATCTGGCTTTGCTCCTTATTACTTGCTACAAAAACCAGGCCAAAACCCTTGAGGAATGACGAGAGACAGAGAAGCGAAGGAAGAGACCATCTAAGCCCAAGGCCGTTTGGGCACAGAGGGGCTTGTGGGGCCTTTGCACTTGGAACAAAGCCTCCGTCATCTGGACCTAGCATGACGGGAGGTAAGTAGGAGTTCCCTGGGAAATGAGGCCTCTGCTCTCCATGTCACCAAAGTATGAAAAAAGCTGGAAAATTCAAGTCCATGTTCTCCAAAGAAATCCCCTTATCTGATCGGGGAAGTTCAAAGGGCGGTAGCAGGAGAAAATCAATATCATGTCCTAAGGACTTGTCTCTTTCTTAGTGTGACTGAAGGAACCCTCAGGGACTCCTGAGGGTTCAACCCTACAGAGCTCCTGTAGTTTCTCAGCAAAACCCCTTCAAGATCTTAAATGGTTTGTACCTACTAAGCTATAAAGCAATCCAGCCCAAAGTGGGGAGGGAGCCTGGGAGGAAAACAGCACCGGACAAGACAAGACACCAGAAATGAATGAACAACCAGATCTTGAAGCAAGCTTGGGGAAGTGAGCAAACTGTATTTCTGGGTAATCTAGAAATAACAGAATGTTTCCGAAGAATATAAATTATGCTTTAGACCTAAAGGTCGGCAGTTTTGTAAGAAAGAGAACTTTGAAGACGACCCGTTCTACGTGTGATTAGCTTTGATGTCATGCTTTATTTTTACGCTTCCAATTTTTGAGATAAGTCTTAAAACACTTTCATGCTAAAGGTTTATCAACGTGGGAGTAGTCACAGTTTCTCAAGTGTCAGGCAAATACTCACTAAATAAAGGAAGGACATGGAGAGAGAAGACAGGGAAATGGAAAAATTGTACAAGCGGCTTTTGTTTAAATTTAGATTAATGGGGGTCAGTGGTTTAACTAAATACTAAACAAAACACATAAAACAAATGTCTTTTTTAAAAAGGTTCGAGATAAAATGTATAAAGCCCCTTCAAAGTGCTTCGGATGCAAGGCTTGCCCTGGGTCCTGAGGGCATCCCGGTCTCCGCCAGCTGCTGCCAATGGCAAGTCTTCATGCACGCGGAACAGGGCTCAGCACCCACAGGACCAGGAACTGTTACAGCAGCTTCTTTTGTGCTTTAGAGGTAAGTGAGAAGGTGCATCAGAGTGACCTGTAAACCACCGAGCATGATGCTGACACCTGGGAGGTCAAGACGATGGGCACCCTCAGTGGCAGACGTCGCTGTCATCACACGTCTCACACGGGAAGCAAGTGGCGTCCGGGCTAAGAAGGCATTTGCAACACAGACACTAGTGGGCATGCTTACCATTCAGAGCCTCCATTTCCCTCCCCACTAAGCCAAGAACATACGGATGCATTTCCAGAGACCAGCGAGTAAGCAATGGCTACCTTGGCCGGTCTGTGCCTCGGGCACCCGTTCCCGAATGAATCGACACGCGTCGTACACGGCCGTGGACGGCTCGAACTGCATGGTCTTCACCACGTTGCAGTGGCGGACACAGATCTTTAAGGACAGGGCCACCATCTTCCCAGAGGATGTGAGGACTCTCACTCAGAACACCTGGAAAACAGAGACAATCCCTGACAGTCAGGATAACTGTCCGTCTGGAGGAAAAAACAGTGGACTCTGTATCAGCTTTAAAAACCAAGAGAACAAAACGGCAATTGAAGTGAATACTTTGAATAAAAACACAAATTAAAAACTAGATTTTTGGTGAAATTTTAAAAATACGAGCAGCATATAGTTTCGGGGTTAACATTACCACAGTGTGGCAAGCAGGGTCCCTGGAGAGGAAGGAACTCAGAAGTGACTGAGCCCCCTTCTCTAAGGCAGCTCCCTACCTAGGGCCTCCTAAAGGGGGTCCACTGGGAGTGGAATTTCCCAGGCTACTGAACATCTGTCTCCTGAACATGCTTCTGGCAAGACCGTCAGCGCCCGGGTTGCGTCCCCAGCAGCCCCTGGGGACAGAGGAGGAGGCACCAATGCCTTCACAGGTGTCCTCATGGCAAAAGAGTTGCACAAACCACGGACCAGAAGATTTGGCTTCCAGGCCCAATCACATCCCCAGGAGACTGTAAGTCCGAGCAAGGCATTCTGGCCACTCTGCCTTAATTTCCCACAAATAAAGTAGCGACAGTGGTATCAGCCCTGCATAATTCATGGAAGAATGGAGCGCCAGACTAATGCAGAGCCATCGCTGACGAGGCCAGACGGCCCATCTGAAACACCCAGTGTGGCAGACAGCTGCACACTCTTCAGGGTCTCAAAGTAAAGAAAATGCCAATTCAGCTGTTATTTCATTCAGACCAACTCCTGGGATATTTTACTGCTCACTCAGTTCGATGACTTTAAACAGGTTTAGGCTAGGTTTGAAATACTTCATAATTTATTTTTAAAAATTAAATGCAATGATTTAGTGCCTTTACTTTGAGCTGGTGGTTTCTAGTTTATTTGGGCTACCTGCTCTGTTCAATGGCCAGAAGCTCACCCCCCGCCCGAGCCAGCCTCTATCAATGCATGCCTGGGGCACGAGGGGTAGGCATGTTCCCTGCACCTGAGAACCAGCACGGACTTACCCAGCTCCCGTCATCCTGGCACACAAAATAAACACTACAGTTAGTAGCTGTGAGAACCCTAGAGCTGCATTGGATAACACAAGTCCATGGGAATTTCAAGCACAACCTCTTTCTTCTTTTATCAGACAATCTTCTGGGACTACCCCTTATGCCCTTCCCACTCGAGAATGCAAGGGCTCGGGAGCAGTGACGTGGCCGACATGCAGGGAAGACAGCAGGCCGGCCGCGACACTAGAAACAGGTGCCTCTAGGGTGTCACTTCTCAGCTTGATTGATTGCTAGCTTCCTAACAACAGGTGACTACAATCACTTGGTTACAGAGGACATTTTTAAACAGATGCTTTTAAACAGATTTTTAAACACCACGGGCAGGGTGTATACACACTCTCATGAAGCAACCATTCAGGCCACCCAATTACAAAGTCATTCTGACCTCTATGTACATTCTGAATAAATTCTGTCTGTGAAAATGTGAGAATATTTATCACTTGAGAAATGTTAAGATATACTTCTCAACAAACAGCAGTGTTCAGTGGGAATCTGCCCCAAGCTGAATGAATTTACTACAGCCTGGGCGGTGGCTAGATTGTGGACACATAGAGAAGTTCAAAATATCCCGTGATTTTCCATCTACAATACCAAGAACTTTTAAAGCTAAATATAAAAGACTCTATCCAACTCTGTTTGTGCAGGCACATTGAACCAACCAACAACTAACTCCCCAAGATGGGAAAATAAAACTGAAACTAGAAATAGATACATTTTCTGTAATGTAGATCACTCGGCGGGATAGCTCGTCCCCTGGCGCTGGTGACAACTTGGGACTTCATGAACTGCTGAGAGCTATGAGCATAGATGGTGATAAGATTCAGTGGGGAAGGCCACGGAACCAATGTCGTCATGGATGCTCCTTACGGGATGCACCAGAGAGGATGGGATGATTAGTGTCCCCCATCCCTGGGAATAGGAAGCAGCAGAAGGGTCCCTGCGTGAAGGCTGTTCCTCCAGGGCTAGTAATGAGGCTTTCTGAACAGCAAATGAACATTCCCTATAGCGAAGCAGGGAGGTAGATTCAATCAAAAGGAACGAGAGCCATGACATGAAGCCACAGCAGGACAGTCAACACGGGCGCACGGAGGAAGCAGAAGACACCCATAGGCGCAAGGACAAAGAGGCCAACGGAAACGCAGACAGAGCAGGGAGACCACAGGCCGGAGGCTGGGAACACAGGAGAGAAGCGTGGGGAGCTGGGAAGCAGAAGGGGGAAAGAGAAGCATAAAAAATAGAACAATGAAGGAAAATCTCTATCCAAAACAACTGGGAAAAAGAAGAAGCTGCTGGAGGCACAGGTTGGGGTGACTAGTCTCTGATGAATTTGTCTGGGATGTATCCAGTGGAAAAGTGGAAGAGAGTCAGAAACAAATCAGGGGACATAACAGGGGGTGGGAGGGTGCTGTGGAATTTAAGTCATTGGAACTAAAGATCATCTAGGGAGCGAGAGAGAGAGACCCAAAGACTGAGTCCTGAGAAGACACTCTAAATCAGGACAAGGAGACGGACCTGATGAGGAGGCCCACTGGTAGGTGAGGGAGGAGATGGAGACAGGGTGGGGGGTAAGAAGGTGCGGCCAGCAGGCGGGAGAGACCAGCAGTGCTGACTGCAGGCGCGATCGGGGAGCGGAGGACACAGCAGCTGCCTCTGGCGGCCTGGAGATGTCTGGCCGAGGAAAGGGAGCTCTGTGGGGGCATGAGGCCAGGCAGCAGGCTCAGGAGCGGTGAGGGGCAGCTGGCACAGCAGGTACAGACCATCTCCGGGAGCTGCTGGAGGGGGTAGAGGAGCGGCGGTAGCTCTGATTTAGGCTTTCATCCAGAAGTACGCATCGCAGCGCTGCTGCCAACTCCACTTCTACACATCATCTACGTAGGCATGGTTTCCCCCAAGTGTGGTCCCAGGGCCAGTCCCCAGACAGCTGGGAGCCCTTCCTGGAGGCAGGTGCCTCCACACAGGACCTCCCCTCTGGCCCCGTCCGGGCTGCTGCCCGGGTCTACGTGAGAGCAGAGGAGCAGGCAGTCTTGGTTCGAGGGAAGGGCGCAGGACTAGGAGTCTGTGGTTCAGGTAGTGCCAGGCCCACGATGCCTTGGACCTCTGCGCCCCATTACCTCCCTTCTCTCCTCTTCAGAGAGCAGGAAGCCACCGCTCCCACGAAAGGAGCTGCCCAGAAGACACTCGGTGTTTGGCCAAAAATTCCCATAGGATCCCTTTGTCTTCACAGCTTAACATCTCACCACGGAGGCCATGGGACAGAAGCCACGATCCTTAGTTCAGAGTAGACACTCAACAGAACAAGGGACACCAGAGATTCATTACAAGGTTCATGTTTTCAACTTCTGTATCATCTCAAAAACAACCACTGCAAAAGCAACACATTACCCAGAAGCACCAAAGCCCCAAGTCAGTCATTCCAACGAGCATTGCAGTGGTTGGTTGGCAATGAAGACTCCAATTTCTTCTTCTTTCTCTCAGCTCCCTGTTTTATTATGACTCAGTGTTCCCAAGCGTGAAATGAAAAACAAGACCAGCAGTTTCCTTCATGGAAATGCTAAAAAATGCAAATTACGTACATGAAGAATGATTTATAAACTTTACAAGTATGTATAAAGACAAGGTACTTTTATCATTATCATGCAAGAGGATCGCCCACAGAAGAAAAGCCCAGTGAGATCTGCAACCCAAGTGCACGGAGATTTCATCATCGCCCCACAGGGAACAGGGCACTGAGCCCTGTCTAGCACCTCCCACCACAGAAGGAGACACTTGCAAAACAGACACTTGCTGGAATTAAGTGCCCTGACTTAGGACAGAAAGAAGGCAGAATTAAAGCAGACAGCAAGTAGAAATGTCAACTAAAGATGAGTATGTATTCTCAACACCGGGGAGAAGTCTCGCTACATAACCACGACAGCCCTGAGAAACCATCCGCTGGGACAACAGGCCAGGTGAGGGCTCGATGCCCCCTCTCCGCTGCGATGTTTGCAGGGCAGCACAGCATGAGACAGCAACCGGCCCTCAGGTCCACTGTTCTGTGCCCTCACCCCCTCTGCTCATTCTTGCCTTTGCAGGCGGGGAGCCTGAGAGAGCTGACCAGTTTCCCCTTCTGGTTTGGCTGCGAGAAGGCTCGGAGCCAGTGGGGGTCCTGTTTTAGTTAGAGTCCAACCCACCTCTCTTTTATGATCCTATCCCTGTTATTTTTTTTCCGTTACCCCAATTTGAATGTATGCTATCTTGTTGGACCTTACGTCCACTTTTTGTTTTTGTGCTAAAAGACAGGGCATAAATTCATTAAAGGTGTATTACTTTTCTTTTCATAATCGTTCCCACTCTGACAGTTTTGCCCTAATTTATGTGTGAAGGTCGCCTGGCCCAACAAAAACCCTCTGTGCCATCCGCTGTGGAAGATGAGCCAATGGAACCAGTGGTGAAACCCAGACGTTCTCGTTCTAAGGTCAACACTTTCCACCCCAGGGAGCTGTGAACAGCCCAGCATGATGGCAGCAGCCTCACCCAGTCCTCCCTGGGACAAACAAGCCCAGCTCGGCCAAGGGCTCCTCCTGTCCAGAAGAAATGCCCACTATTGGTCAAGACGAGCAGCCACCCCTTGGATCTCTTCCCTGGTAACGAGGGCCATGAGGTGCTCCAACCCGGGCCTGCCTTCCCAGCTGCCACACTGATCTGGTTCCGTAGCTGCAATGTGCCTCAGTCGCCTCCTCCGTAAAGCGAGAGACGATGGTGGATCTACCGCAAGGGTGCTGGGGGACGGAATACGTAATACATGTCAAAGGCACACAGAAAGCACAGGTCAGGGTTTGTTACTGGACAAACACAGGAAGCAGCATTCTGTATTCAGCTACCACCTGAGCTCCAAACCACTTCATTGTTCATTTTACATCTGTTAATATGAGATATTATAGGCATCAGGGCGCAAAG